GCAGTGTGTGTCTCATTACCTGAAAAACGGGGATAATGCCCACGTCACCTATTAGTTGTGAGGATGAAATGTTAACATGTTTCCAAAGCCTAGAACAGTACTGGGCAATAAAGCACAGATGAATTTTTTCCCTTCTCTCTCTCTCTCTCTCTTTTTTATGGTTGAATTTCGAGCATTGTTTTCAACATGCCAATTCTCTCTCCTGCGGCTGTGCCCTCTCCAAAATGCTATGATCATCCCCTGTATGCCTTCAAGCAGATGGGGAAAACTGGTGCCTAAGATAGGATTGAGGAAATGTGTGCAATGCTAAACGTATATCCATTTCTGGAAGGAGACCTGCTGGGGAGCGAGCTGAGCAGGAGACTTTGACTTTTGCTATGTACTGTTCATCGTTTTTTAATTTTTTAGAGGTAGGGGTCTCCTCGCTGTGTTGCCCAGGCTGGTCTCAAACTCCTGGGCTCAAGCGATCCTCCTGCCTCGGCCTCCCAAGTAGCTGGGACACAAGAGCGTGCCACCACGCTCAGCTTCGCATTTTTTTTTTATCTTGTCGGTGCACAACTTTCATCAAAACAAAAATGTTTAATTTGCCAATCAAGTGAATGCTGTGCCCCGTGCCCTCCTCACTCAACCCCCGGCGCCCCGGCCGGCCGGCCCTCGCCTACCCTAGAGGCCTCTGCGGACCGACGCCGCGCAGGTCGCGGAACTCAGCGGGGAGGCCCGCAGCGGCCGTTCGGTGGGGGCGGTTGCCTAGCAACCGGGACGCCAAACAGAGCCGCTTGGAGACGGCGGCTCGGACTGCGAGCCCTGAACGGAGGTAAGGAGCCGCGGGCCGCGGGCGGCGGGGCTCCCGCTGGGGCCCGGCCTCTCCTCCCTCCTCCCGCCCCGGCCCAGACGACTCTCCGCGGCGGGAGGGCCTCGCTGGGAGCCGGACGGACCCCAGCTCCTCCCGCCCGCCCGGCCGCGCCGCCTCCGCCCACAGAAGGCGGGCGGGGAGTGGGGCGACCGCACGGGAGGCCGCGCCCGCCCGACGGGGAGCGGGGCTGGTTCTCCTGGAGTCCCTCGGGGCCTGGCCCGCAGCGGGGGCCGCGGCGGGGAGAGCGGGCTGCTTTAGAAGTGGTTGCTGGAAATTCGGGTAGAAACTGGATTAAGGGCTGTTTTTCCCGCCAACTCCCCCACCAAGGCATTTGGCACTACACACACACACACACACACACACACACAATCCTGCCAACTCCCCCACCAAGGCATTTGGCACCACACACACACACACACACACACACACACACACACCCCACCCAAAAGGGCTCCATTATCCTCTTTTATTTACCTGCTCCAGGACCGGCAGGGTCCAGGGCCTTGTGCCTGCAGGGGGGGTGGGGGTGGGAGGAAGCTTAGTTAATGCCTCACGCGAAGGTGAGCAAAGCTAGGGCTGTTCCCTGGCAGGCTTCTGGCTCGAAGGGGCTCAGAGCAAAATGGGTAGGAGCGCGTCCTGCCTGTGTGTGTGTGTGCGCGGCGGGGATATTTGCTCCAGAAGCTGTCCTCCCAAATGGTCTCCTGCAGCCCTGTTGTCCCTCCACAGGTGGTGAAGGAACAGGCCTAGGGGGTTCTGACCCTCACTCACGGTCCCTGCACCATGGCCACACTGAGTGTCAAGCACAGCCAGCGCTTCCAGCTGCCCGACTGGCACACCAACACCTGCCTGCTGTCCACCAATGCCGAGCGGCAGCGAGATGCTTCCCATCAGATCCGCCAGGAGGCCCGGGTCCTCCGCAACGAGACCAACAACCAGGTTGGGGACGAGAGCCCAGTCGGGTGGGCAAAGGGCTAGCCCCCAAACCGCTGACACCCTCTTTATCTGGCTCTGCCTCTCCCAGACCATTTGGGATGAACATGACAACAAAACTCGACTGGCAGAGAGAATCACTACTGTCACCCGGTGGAAGGAGATGCTCGACAAGAGTCTGACGGATTTAGACACCGAGATGGCCACCCTGACAAAGGCAGGCAGCTAGAGTTGGGTGCCAGGAGACAGTGCTGCAAAGACCCGCCCCCTCCATCCCCACTTCTGGGTTGGGGGTCATGAGTGGCATGTCACTCCAAGACACTCACGGGCCCCTCTGCTAAAGTGGGGATAAGAGCTGCTTCCCTGTGATGGCTCCACCAGCCTCCTGTGCCCCCTTTTCTAGTTGAAGGAGGCGGCAGAGCAAAACCTGCAGGCCAAGAACCTGCCTCTGGATGTGGCCATCGAGTGTCTGACCCTGCGGGAGAGTCGGCGAGACATTGATGTGGTGACGGACCCTGTGGAGAGCGAGCTGCACAAAGAGGTGGAGGTCATCGAGGCCACCAGGAAGGCCTTGCAACAGAAGATCAGCCAGGCCTTTGAGCAGCTCTGGTAAGGGGGGAGGGGTCACTGGCATGTTCACAAGCACTTGAGGGCTTTGTGCCTCAAATGTGGAACAGGTATCATGGATAATGGGACAATGGCAACTGGCTCTCATGCTATCTTTGGCCCCTCCCGTGCCTGTGACAGAAACCACCAATGGATTGTAGTGTTCTTGCCACTGCCTGGATGTGGTCTCAGAGTATGTCTCACACACGCCCCTGCTCTAGGCAGCTAGGATCAATTGATTGAAAGCATGAGAGATAAAGCCCGTTGGCCAGCAGCCCTGAGTGCCATATTGTGAGTGGTACGTGTGAGTGTTGTGCCCGTGCGTGTGTGTGAGCCAGCTCATCTATAGTTGTGCCAGTCTTCGTTTCAGCTGCATCGGCAGCTCCAGTGTCTTCTGCTGGGAAGAGTCGTCTCAGCCCCCTTGTCCCTCAGTGTCCCTTTAGTCCGATAAGGCCTGCATCCTGGGCCTTGAGGGCGGTTCCCGATTGAGTTGCACTCTCCCCAGCCGCCTGCAGGAAGTCCAACAGCTGCTCAACTCTGACCACCGAGGCAAGATGGAGTCGCTGGACATCGACAGAGGCTGTCTCTCTCTCAACCTCACGTCCCCAAACATCTCCCTGAAGATCAATCCCACACGTATCCCCAAGGGGTAAGAGGAGTGTTCAGTCCGTCTCTCCTCCTCCCCTCATGGGCCACCCCCTTAGGACCCCATTATTTCCTGCCACCTGCAGCTCCACCACACTCCAGGAGTGGGATGAGTTCAGTCAGTTCAACAAGGCCCAAGCGGAGGCAGAGATGAAGGCAGCCATGGAGCTGAGGGAGGCCATCGTCCTGACGATTGCCAAGGTGAGTGCCCACCCCCAGCCTGCTCCTCCACAGCTAAGGGGTGGCCCAAGTGTGTACCCAGCCCTGACCTTTTGTTCCCTGTTGACCACGTGGCACCCCTTCCCCTCACTTGAGCAATATCCTCCGGTGGCCACGAGCTTACCCCTCTCCTCGCCTTGCCTGCCTCCTGTCCTCAGACCAACAACGAGCTCGAAGCCCAGAGGGTTGCAACAGAATTTGCCTTCAGGAAGCGGCTGCGGGAGATGGAGAAAGTGTACAGTGAGCTCAAGTGGCAGGAGAAGCATGTGAGCCTTCTTCTGGGGCTGGGACTTGCTGCTGTGGGATGAGGAGCCGGATGCCCAGCCAGGAAGCCCTGGAGTAGGTGCACTGTGTTGAGTTCAGCTGGTGGAGACCAGTCACTCTGTCCCCTGCAGATGTTGGAGGAGATCGCTGACCTGCAGGAGGACATCCGGCACCTGGAGGAGGATCTGCGCAGAAAGTTACTGAACCTGAAGCTGTGCCACACCCGGCTAGAGGCCAGAACCTACCGGCCCGATGGGGAACGCTGCCGGGACCAGGTACGAGGGTGTCCCCTTGGGGCACGGGCCCCCTTGCTAAGGTTCCCTTAGGATCACACCCCAGCACACATTCCTGGTGGAGCAAGGGCACTGCCTCGGGGCAGCCCTCAGGCCTGGGGTCAGGGACAGCAAGGCTGACCCAGGACTCCCAACCCGCCTCTTTGCCTCCAGGTCCAGTATGGCCTCACTGATGAGGTTCACCAGTTAGAGGCGACCATCACTGCCCTGAAACAGAAGCTGGCACAAGAACAGTAGGTTTGGGGAGTAGGCAGGAGGGGCAGGGAGATACCACCCGCCAGTGGGGCCTCTTGCTGTCTGCCTGTTCCCCTGGGCTTTGTCGTCCTCACTGAAGGCTGGTGCATCCAACTCACACCTCCCGGCCTCACGCAGGGGGGGTGGGTTGTCCATGCTTCCTCCCCAGGGACGCACTGGACGCCCTGTGCAAGCACCTGGCCCGGCTGCAAGCTGATATTGCCTGCAAGGCCAACTCCATGCTGCTGGACACCAAGTGCATGGACACCCGGCGCAAGCTGACTGTGCCTGCTGAGAGATTTGTGCCTGAGGTGGACACCTTCACCCGGACCACAAACCGCACCTTGACTCCACTCAAAAGCTGCCAGCTGGAGCTGGCCTAGCCCTGTAGGGCTGAGGGAGCAGGAGAAGCTGAAGCTTGGATGGGAAATGGAAAAGGCAGGAGAGACTGAATCTAATAAATGTGTAGGTTCTTAGACCACGCTGCTCTCTGCTACCCATGCACTGCTGCACGGAGCCTGTAGGAGGGAGAGAGTTTCGACCTGCCCTCCTGTGTATGGAGGAGCAAAGATGGGGAACATCACACCCCTCCCCCCAAAGTCCATGCTCCAAATTTATTCTGGGCTAGGCTACCACTCACAGGGCTTTAGCAGAGGAGCCTCTACCTAGCTCTACCCCTGCCCCAGCAGGCCCCTTGCCTGCCCTTTTGATGCCTAACGGAGATCCAGAGGGGGCCAGGATCCCAGTGGAGGGCCTACTGGGGGTGTCTGGGCCTGAATCGGGACCCTTTGCAGTTCACAGTGGGGAGAGCCTGGGCTCAAAACCGAGGCCGACGGGGGCTGCGCGGCGCCGTGCCTCCGGGCCGCTGGGGGCGCTGTGGGCCAGGGAGCGGCGCGCAGGCTCCAGGCCACTGGGAGGCGCTGTGGCCCGGGGAGGAGGGAAGCGGCGTCGCGGCACCGGAAGTGGCGGCTGGCCAGCGAGCGGATGGCGGCGGTGGCTGCGATGACGGCTGCGGGCGGCGGCGGGGCTGGTGCGGCCCGCTCCCTCTCGCGCTTTCGAGGCTGCCTGGCTGGCGCGTTGCTCGGGGACTGTGTGGGCGCCATCTACGAGGCCCACGACACCGTCGACCTGACGTCAGTCCTGCGTCACGTCCAGAGCCTGGAGCCCGACCCCGGCACGCCGGGGAGCGCGCGGACAGGTGGGCGGGGCCGGGCGCACGTGGGTCGCGCCCCGCCCACGGGGGCCCCTGGGGAGGGAGCCGTGGGGGACAGAGTGCTGGGTGTGGACTGGTCAAGCTGTGCGCGGAGACGAGGCTGCCCAGGGCTGCGGGGCCGCAGTCGGATGACCCGCAGACACCTCGGACTCGCGGGTCCAAGTCCGAACTCCTTTTTACACGTCTCGCCACGACGTTCTCCGGCTCGGGGCAAGGCAACACCGGCGTCATTCTCCTGGATTGCGCCTGGGCGTCATTCTCCTGGGCGTCATTCTGGATTGCGCCTGCTCCAGTATGCAGATGCCCTCGATTTATGATGGGCTCACCTCCCTATAAACTCATACTAAGTTGAAAATACCCTAAGTCAGAAGTGGCATTTTCAACTTACAGTGTGCCTAGCCCCATCCTGAGTTGCGGAGCCTACTGAATGAGTATCGCTTTAGCACCATTGTAAAACCAGAAATACTAAGTTGGACCATCAGTATACCGTCTATATACCCCCTGCCTTCCTGACTTGACCTGTTTTATCCAGTTCTCTGGAATCTATATACCACCAGTGCATTCGCCACACAGTAGGGAGCGTACCTCTCAAAGCATAAATCTCGTTGTGTCCTCCCCGCATAAAACCCTGCTGTGATTTCCCAATTATCCTTAGGTTAGAACCAAACTCAACTTGTCCTGCCTGCCCCTACCTACCCCCCCATGTGCAATTTCATGTTATGCCACCCTTGGCCTTGCTTTCCGCTCTTGGGCTCCTCTCACACCATACTTCCTCTAGCAGGAACGTTTGCACCCTGCTGTCCCTTCCCCAAAAGCTAACTCCTCTTCCCTTTTCCTTCCCTGTGTAGTCAGGTCATCACCCAGATCTCAGTGCAGGTAGAATGTCTGAGGTCAAGGAGAGGATGTGAGTCTCCTGGAGCCATAGTCAGAACCTTGGAGAACACCTATATTTAAGAGGGAGGTGGAGGAGGGGGAAGGGAGTGAGGGAAAGAAACAGTTTGATAGGAGGAGAAGCAGGAGGCATTATCAGCCATACCTAGGAAAAGAATTTCAAGATGAAGACACTGGTGTCACACTATAGAGGAGAAAATCTGGACTTAGAAAAGCATTTTCAGTGGGTTAAGGAGGAAATGGAAAATGAGAAAATAGTAGTATGGTTTGGTATGAAGGGAAGGAGAGAGAGGAGTTATATATAATAGTTGTGAAGACAAAATGTTGGGATGGGTTTTTATTTCATTGTTGGTTTGATGTTAAGATGAGGGAAAAGCATATTTTAGCTTAAGAGGTGTTTTAAGACCTTCGGATACAAGTGACAGAAAACCCAACTCAAATCGCCTAAGTGAAAATGATTCTATTGGCTGACATAACTGGGAAGTGCAGAGATAGGTCTGGCTGCCAGCAGAGCTGAATCCGAGGACTCAGATCATCTCCCCAAGGCCCAGTTCCTCTCCATTGTTCAGATCTGCTTTCTTCTGGGTGGGTTCACTTACCCTGACAGACCCTCCTATGGGACAGCCCCAGCCGCTCCTGGCTCCTCCCAGCTCAGCAGCTCCAGCAGAGGAAGAGTTTCTCTTTGCAGCATTCCCAACAAAAGTCCCAAATTAGGTCTCATTGGCCTGGCTTAGGTCATTTGTCCATCCCTAACCAAGGGAATGGGGGTGCTGTTTGATTAGGCTGGAGGTAGGGTTGGTGGCATGCCCTAGTCACCTGGACTGGGAGTGAGAAAGGTGGTTCCTGGGGTACACTGGGTGCAGTGACCAAATGAAAACAGAATAGATGCTGTTCCCCGAGGAGGGAGAGGTTGAGGATAAAGGAGAGAAGGGACAAAGAAGAGCAAGGTCCCCAGGGGAAGGGACTGTGATGGGCTTCGTCTTGGACCAGGGGAGACTGACTCCTTCTGAGGGTGCCCGGGGAGTGCAGTTGCAGATGAAATACCTGTTAGCTACTCTTCCTGGTGAGCAGGAGGTAAGGGCCACCCAGGGGTGGGAAGGGAATAGGAAGGCAGGGCTTGGGGATTGGGAGATGCCAAGAGAGGGTGCAGCAGCCATTCAAGAATTGGGAAAAGAGGCTTCCCTGGGAGTCTGCTTCATTCTCTGTAAGCGGCTCTTCCACAAGTAAGACCAATCCCCTGTCCCTGGCAGGCTCATAGCCTATTTGAGCAGTCACAAATGACCGGCGTCGCAGTGTCAGAAGTGCCAGGGCAGTCTTCACGGGCACTTTGAGGAAAAAGAGGTGGTGCAAGTGGAGAGATGGGAGCAGCCCAGGCTGGGAGGAACCTGATCCCACCCCCCCTGAGGATGTGTAGGGAAGCAGTGGGATAGAAGATGGGTGAGGAAGGAAGGAAGGGGACTGACACAGGAGGGCTTTGAATGCCAGGGCCATGAATTTGGACCTCATCCTGGAGGCAGCAGAGAGCCATTTTGAACAGGAGAGTGAGCCGAGGAAGGTGGTAGTCTGCTCTTAGGAGGAATGTTCAGGCTGCATGTGCAGGTTGGATTGGAGGGTGGGAAATGGGCAGGAGGTTTGAGAGGCTCTGCCTATAGTAGCCCAAGCAGGTCGTACTAAGACCAGAGCTGCAGGGCTGGCAGCGAGAAGGGGATGGATGGTTCTCCTTCAGAAATCAGTGGGACAGTAATCCTAGCACTCTGGGAGGCCAAGGCGGGCAGATCGCTCAAGGTTGGGAGTTTGAAACCAGCCTGAGCGAGAGCTAGACCCTGTCTCTACTAAAAATAGAAAGAAATTAATTGGCAAACTAAAAATATATATAGAAAAAATTAGCCGGGCATGGTGGTGCATGGTGGTCCCAGCTACTCGGGAAGCTGAGGCAGAAGGACCGCTTGAGCCCAGGAGTTTGAGGTTGCTGTGAGCTAGGCTGACGCCACAGCACTCTAGCCAGGCAACAAAGTGAGACTCTGTCTCAAAAAAAAAAAGAAAGAAAGAAATCAGTGGGACATGGTGACTGAGTCAGAATAAAGAATTGCTAAAATCCCAGGGCTGAAATCCTAGGGCTTCCCAAAGCCGGGTAAAACTGGACAGGAGAGGCTGACTTTAGGTCGTTGTGGGTGATGTAGCTTTAAAGGGAATGAGCAGGAGGCCTCCACTCGGAGCCCGGCAGCTCGCCTCAGCCCCATCGTCTCCCCACAGAAGCCTTGTACTACACAGATGACACAGCCATGGCCAGGGCCCTGGTGCAGTCCCTGCTGGCCAAGGAGGCCTTTGACGAAGTGGACATGGCTCACAGGTAAGGGGGGTGGTCCTGGGATTAGGCAAACCAGGTGAGCAGAGTTACTACACCCTTGACCAGAGGAATGTCTGTGCATGCCCGGGACCACCCCCCAACCCTGCGGGACCCTGTGTCTAAGGCTGACACAGCTTCCCAAGCTAACAGTGATAGCACTGCTGGTACATCCTTAGGTCCCCAAGGCTTCCTCTTTTTCCAAACCAGCACAGTTTTCTTTCCCAATTCTGAGAGGCATCATTGAAACCCCAGTTCTGTACCCCTTCTCTCCCCTAGGTTTGCTCAGGAGTACAAGAAAGACCCTGACAGGGGTTATGGTGCTGGAGTAATCACTGTCTTCAAGAAGCTCCTGAACCCCAAGTGTCGTGATGTCTATGAGCCTGCCCGTGCCCAGTTTAATGGGAAAGGCTCCTATGGCAACGGGGGCGCCATGCGGGTGGCCGGCATCTCCCTGGCCTATAGCAGTGTCCAGGATGTACAGAAGGTATTTGAGATGGGCTCGCCTCTGGGCTCTGTCCTTCCTCTTCTGCAGCGTGGGTTCTGTGACAGCAGGTCTTCTTGTCCCTAGTTTGCCCGGCTCTCAGCCCAGCTGACACACGCCTCCTCCCTGGGTTACAATGGTGCCATCCTGCAGGCCCTGGCTGTGCACCTGGCTTTGCAGGGCGAGTCTTCCAGTGAGCACTTCCTCGAGCAACTCCTGGGCCACATGGAGGAGCTGGAGGGTGATGCCCAGTCTGTCCTGGATGCCAGGGAGTGAGTATGGGGATGGAGGTGTGTGGGTGTCTGCGGGTACAGGTGGTGGGGTGGGGGCACCTGGCATTGCCACAAGCTGAAACCTTCCTTCTTTAATGACAGACCCTAAGGAGGGTCTACAAGCCCCTTTGCCTTATTTGTGTTCCAAGGCTCTCAGGGTCCCAGAGAACAAAACAACCTGCTCACACCTAGCCCCCTCCCGCTTCTTGTTCAGGCAGCCGTGTGGGCTGCCAGCCTGACCACATCCCTGCTCACTGTCACGTAGTCCCTTCCCCCTGCCCGGCAACTGCACCCTGCTGGCTTCGACCTCCCTGAAATCTTGCCCCCAACCCCATAGGTTGGGCATGGAGGAGCGTCCATACTCCAGCCGCCTGAAGAAGATCGGGGAGCTTCTAGACCAGGACTCGGTGTCCAGAGAGGACGTGGTGTCCGAGCTAGGTGGGTGGGCCTGCCTGTGATTTGTTCCCCCACCTTTTGTCCTTCAGGGTCAGTCTTGGGCTTGGGGAGGGGAGTGTGGAGTTATTTTGCTCTGGCCACGCTCTGTAGGGTCCTTGGCAGGAGTGTGACCTCAGTGCCTTCAGCCTTGTAGATCAACATCCCCAGAATGGAAGCCGACCACCTGTTTTTACAGGCAGTGTTGATAACAGATGTGTGTGTGCCCAGCACTGGCCCTGGGCACTGTGCGGAATGCTTCGATCACACTTCTTCCTCACAGCAGCCCCATGAGCGGGTTACTCACTTTACTCTGCACTGAGGAGTGGGATCCAATAGCAGAGTCTTAGTGATTTCCCAGTCATGCCCATGTGAAGCCAAGGGTGTTGACGTGTGGCAAACAGCAGGACGCCCAGGGGCTGGGAGTGTGTCAAGCCCCTGTAATCTGGCTTCCCCACAGGGAATGGCATTGCTGCCTTTGAGTCTGTGCCCACCGCCATCTACTGCTTCCTGCGCTGCATGGAGCCCGACCCCGAGATCCCCTCTGCCTTCAATAGCCTCCAAAGGACTCTCATCTATTCCATCTCACTTGGTGGGGACACAGACACCATTGCCACCATGGCTGGGGCCATTGCTGGTGCCTACTATGGGATGGATCAGGTGCCAGAGAGCTGGCAGCAAAGCTGTGAGGGCTATGAGGAGACAGATGTCCTGGCCCAGAGCCTGCACCGGGTCTTCCAGAAGAGTCTGTGAGGGCCACAGCTGCTGGGGCTCTGCCATGTCCAGTGCGACCAGCTACAGCTCAGATCGGAAACCCTGAGATTCCTCAAACTTGGCTCCCCTGCCTCCGTCTTCCTGTGGTGTGGGCTGGGGTCTTTCTGGGGGAAGTCATCGGAGCAGTGAGTGAGGCACTGACGCCTCCCTCGTGCCGGGTCTCTGGCTTGCTGCAGAGCTGTAGGTGCTCCCTGGCTCCTCAGTGAGACCTGAGAGACCAGGGTGGTTTATTTTAGATAATACATATGGCATTTTCTCATCTAGGACATGGGGTTTGGGGAAGGGGAAATGATCTGCAGTAGCATCATTTCTCCCTGTTGGGTTTTGGCCAATTTGCCAGCAAGCCTGCCCTTGACTGGGCAGGGCCCCCAAGCAGCAGGGCATGTGGATCAAGGGCCAGGCACTAGATTCCAGCTAATCTAGGTCCACACCTAGCCCTTCACTATCGTGGGGCTTGTTAACAGCTTCCAGTGGAAGTCACAGCAATAAACAGCTTTTGGTAAATCCCACCACTGTTTCCTGCTTCTCCCCTGCCCTGAATGGATCCTTCTCCCTTGGCAGCTTGACCTTCTCAAGCCTAGTGCCTGTCTGTCTACGCTACGCTGTCCTAGGAGCTGGGACCCCAAAGCGATGAGCTGCTGTGTTGCCAGGCAAATTCCTCCAGTCGGCTTCGTGTTCTGCTAGGAAGGGCAGAATAGGCATGGTTTGGTGCCTTTCCTGTTAGAGATCACACAAGGTGGCCCAGGCAGCTAGGCCAAGGGCTTTGCCAGAGGCAGTGAGCAGGAACAAGCCAGATTTTTCTGCTCTTAGAGCCTGACTTCCCCAAATAAGAGCTAGGCCCAGCTAGGGCAAGAACAGTAACCCTGTAGAAAGACCCCTTCTATCACCAGACTGGCAGCCTTTCGGTGGGGAGGACATGCCATTGCAGGTGCCTTGGGTGGACTGCATCCATGTGCCTCCTATATCTTGGGGTTCAGTCAAAGGCCTTGCCGCATGAGGAAATTTTGCACAGCATCCATTTTGGAGAAAGGGAAAGGGCACCTCAGACAGCAGGGACATTGAGCATCCTAGCCTCAGTAGAAAGAAGCACGTACAGTCTGACGACTGTAGGGCAGCTCTACTTTCAGCCATGGTGGGGCTCTGCCAGGCTGGGGGCTTTTCAGAGCATGGATTGTTTCAGGTCTGTTGCCCGGACCCCAGATCAGGGACAGATCTCTTGCTGTTGAGTATGGCAGGCAGTGGGCAGGTGCATTCTGCCCAGGACGGCTCCCCCAGCCTGTCTTCAGCTTTGGGTCTGGCAGTAGCCAGCCCTCAGGAGCGAAGACTCATGATTTCATTCATAATTTGAATCAGATGTTGAGACTTGACCCTTGGGATTCCGAGCCAGCTGTCATGCTCCACTACCCCTGAGAGTTTGCAGGAATGTTCCAGTGAAGCTTGATCCGTCTCCCCCAGCTCCAGCCTGCCTTTGGTTTCTTAAAATGCCTCTTGGCATTTGCTTGGTGCACAGCCTCAGCAGCGTAGGTGTCAGGCATTTCTGATGTGATGGTGACAGAAACCTGGGCGGGGAGCTGGGAGGAATGCATGCTCCTTGGGAGAGGGTGGCACACGAGAGCCCCAGGGCGCTCCCTGGATGCCTCTGCATCAATGCTCACTGCAGCACAGCACTGTTCTGTACTACAGGTTTTATTGAGGTTGTGTCAATACAGTCAGTACGGTTTCTCTTTTCAAAAAGAAGTCCCATTTTATTTGATTCCCCAGTGCATTTTTTCCCCGAATCTTCTGTGACACAGGGCACATGATAAATATGTGGAGAACTAAGCTTCCTATACCAAGTTAGAAATGAAATGACTAGTGGAAAACATTTAAACCTTAATCTTAAAAAAACAATTCAGAATCGGAGTACTAAAAATGCACAAGGCACCGCAGTTTTCTTAGTTAAAATCTGACATTGTTTATCAAAGCTAGTCTCTTAAGCGAACACCTGCAACTCAGATCCCGTAAACATTTCAGAAATGCCAACCACTCCTCCCTGAAGGCTTCAGGAATGAAATTTGGCAGAAGCTCAGCTCTGTGAAACAGTTTTTTTGTTTTGTTTTTGTTTTTGGCTCCCCTGGTACCCTGCTTAGTCCCCTGGGCTCCCACCGGGAGACGATTCATTTCTGCCAATCAAAACTGTCCCCAACACATCAGATTCTAGTGGCTTTGACCCAGGGAAGGGAGAGGTTGAGCAAAGGACCCTCAGCAGAAATGGTTGGAGACTCCTTAGTTGGTTCCCTTGGGTGCCAGGGAGTTAGAAATCAAGTGTCCTTGGGGCAGATTTGGGTTTTCATTTCTCCTTTTGAAAGAGAAAGTGAACAAATAGCCTGCTTTGGAGAATTCGTGGGCAGGGCTGCAGGCTTGGCAAGGAGTCTGGGGGAGCGAGCTGAGCAAGCAGTCAGCAGTCATCCTCTGTTTCCGCATGGACAGTCCAGCAGTGTGGGCAGGCCATGTCCTGAAGGACCCAGGCTCACACTTGGTATAGAGAGGTGGTCTAGCCTGGTGAGGGCTGAAAGCGAGGCCTCCTGCCACGGCACAAGAATGTCCACCGTCCCCAAACTGATCCTCTCAGCTTTACCTGCTCATTGTGAACGAAGGGCTGAGGGCTTGGGAGGGGGCCCTGCCTGTTTCCTGCAGAGGAGCTCTGATGGGGGGAATGGCAGAAATGTCCGAGCCAACTCATTCCAGAGGGGCCTGCTGGCGCCCTTTCTCTCAGAGCCTTGGCCTCCCGGGCCCTAATCTTGCTGAGAACAGGAAATTGGAACCAGAGGGTGGAAAGAGAGGAAGCCCCCACAGATTAACCCCTCCAGTGTACGCCCCCACCCACCATGTGGTTCTTACTAAGGAAAAGCAAGCGGGAGCCTTCTCCGTCCCGAGCTTGCGTGCACCGTGTTCAGAGGGCCAAACAAGAGGCTCTCTGCTTTGGGGATACCTGGGTTGAGGGTGACAAGGATCCCCTTATAATTCTGTATGAGAAAATCAGCCCACCTCTCCACAGGTGGCAGGAGAGAAGGGGAGGCACACCCATGTTTACTGATTGTCAACCCTGCCTCCTGCCACCATCTGCACTAGACACTTCAAGACACTTTGCAGTTTGGTCTTTCTGGCCTGTGGCCGTCCCTCGGGGCCTGTGTGGCTGCCTTCATGCTAAACAGAGACAGAGGGGCAGCCCTGGAGACAGGGTGGGTGTGAGGAGCTGCGGCTGCCCCAGATCCTCACCCCTACCCCTCACAAACTGCCTCCCATGGCTGCGGCTAAACCGGTGAAAGGGGGATGACCCTTCCCAGGAGGCTGCAGAGAGGACCACGGACAGGCCTGATGCCACAGCATCACCACTGGGGTTGCAGTCCTCGCAGGGTGTCCACCCTGGCCACCTCGATGCCCCCCTCCTTTCCCCTGGGGGAAACAAAAACTCCAGGGAACCCCACTGTCATATGCTGGAGGCCCTGGGGGAGCTGGAAGAGCCCCAGCCAAGGACTGAGGGAGGCCATACCCCCTTCCTTGAGCAGGTGCCATTCGGGGGCCAGCAGGAGGGGCTGCCCCCCAGGTGGATGGTGGCAGAGCTCAGCCCCTCTCAGCCCCTTCGAGGCCCAGCAGAGTCGAGGACACACAGGCCTGGGCTGCGCATCCCGGGGCACAGCCTGCAGACCAGGCAGGGCAGGGATGGGGTGCAGTCCCGACCCTGCACCGACATTTGGGGGGTGGGAACTCAGGCCAGCCCCTTCTGGCGACAGTCTCAGCCTGCACGTAGGGAGAAAGCAAGTCAGTCTCCTCGGGCCAAGGCTGCGGCCGCCTCTGTTCAGCCTGGGTTTTTTCTTTAAATGGAGATTCTTTGGAACTGAAAAGGTCACTCTACCACTAAAGAGGAGGCCAGGGCAACGGGGCCCCCGAGGGTTATGTGGGGCAGAGCAAGAATCCCGAAAAGGAGGAGTGGATGTACTCGGTGGAGTAGAGGCCGTTGGCCTGGTCCGAGGGCATCTGCACCCAGACCTGGTCGTTGGGCCGCAGCTGGAGCACGGCCCCGCCAGACGCCTGGTCCAGGTAGCCCTTCTTGTACTCGTCGTAGGTGTAGGTGGCTGGCACGTTGTTCTTGTACAGGGCCACCCACACGTTGGTGCCCTTGACGTGCACATGGTAAGCGAAGTAGTAGACACCACCCACGGGGCAGGTGAAGATGCCGGTGGCTGGGTTGTAGCCGCTGTGGCCGTTGTAGAGAGTCCGGTCAAATTTCACAGGCATGCCCGAGGCGGGGAAGGGCGAGGTGAGCACGGCAGTGAAGGCCGGGGTGGCGTGCGCTGACAGCTCGCCCAGCCCGAACTGCGGCTTGCCACCCTTGCCCAGCACGGCGCCCTCCACGCCACCGTTGGGCAGGTGCAGGCCTGCGATGCCAGTCTCATCCAGGGCCCCAGGGGCACCAGGGGGCCCAGGAGGGCCGGGAGGCCCAGGAGGGCCTGTGAGTCCTGGGGAGCCCGGGACCCCAGGGGGCCCTGTGGGCCCAGCCGTGCCGGGTTCCCCCACTTTCCCCTCCCCAGGAGGCCCTGGCAGGCCTGGTTCACCCTTCAGGCCTGGCAGACCCTGGGGCCCAATAGGGCCAGCGGGACCCTGGAGTCCTGGGATTCCCGAGGGACCCCTCAGGCCAGGCTGCCCAGGGAGTCCCAGGTCACCCTTCTGCCCCAGGGCCCCTGCCACCCCTGGTCCTCCAGGGCGGCCTGTGAAACCTGGCTCCCCTTTGGGCCCAGTCGGTCCAGGGGGCCCATGGGCCCCAGGAAGTCCCCTCTCACCTGGGAGCCCAGGTTTCCCAGCCAGGCCACTAGGCCCCTGGTCACCCCGAATGCCAGGCACTCCTGCAGGGCCTTCAGGCCCTGCCTCCCCCTTAGGCCCAGGGGGCCCACGTCTGCCAGGGAGCCCTGCAGACCCAGGAAGCCCAGGGGGGCCACCAAGGCCCTGTGGGCCCTGCTCCCCTGGCTCCCCATCCTCACCTGGCTCACCCCTGTCCCCCAAGAGCCCTGGGACCCCAGCTGGGCCCCTGTCCCCCTTGGGGCCTGGCAGTCCTGGCATCCCATAGCCAGTGGGGCCTATCAGGCCAGGGGGACCCCGGGTCCCTGGCTCCCCTTTGGCCCCTGCTGGGCCCTGTGGCCCTGGCACCCCTGCTGCCCCTGGTACCCCCACACCATCTACCCCAGGGGGTCCTTTGGGGCCCACAGCTCCTGGCTCCCCACTGGGACCCGGAACCCCAGGAGGCCCAGACTCACCCTTGTCTCCAGGGGCCCCAGGAAGTCCATCCAAACCAGGTTTGCCTAAGCCAGCTGGGCCAGGGAGGCCAGGGGGTCCCGGGGCACCCCCCTGTCCTGGTGGCCCAGGCAGCCCTGGCTGGCCCACTCCATTATCCCCCTTGAGGCCTCGATCGCCTGGCGGCCCAGGCTCCCCCTGGGGCCCTGGCTCCCCCTGGAATCCTGGGGGCCCAGGCACCCCTTGAGCACCTGGTTTTCCAGGGACAGTAATGCCTGAAGGGCCAGGGAGGCCAGGAGGCCCTGGGGGCCCCCGGAGGCCCTGATCCCCTCGTATTCCTGGCTCCCCCCGAAGCCCGGGCTGCCCTGGTGGTCCGACCTTGCCTGGGAGCCCTGGGGGACCAGCCTTGCCCATCCGGGAGAAGCCAGGGGGGCCAGCAGGGCCAGGCAGCCCATGGAGCCCTGGCTTCCCAGTGCCAGGTTTTCCTGGGAAGCCAGGAGGGCCAGGGGGGCCCCGAGGCCCGGGCTTCCCTGGGGGGCCAGGCTCTCCTTTCAGGTCCATCGGCAGCAACGGTAGAGGCATTTCTGAGAAAGAGAGAGAAGGAGGCAGTCAGGGGCCTGGACAGTGGGGACAGAGGACCCCTCTACCCGTCCCCGGCACCAGTATGAGGCAAGGCTCCCTACATCTGCTCATGAAGACCACTCCCCGCTGCTCTCATGGATGGTGGAGTTTAGGGCTGGTCCAGAGGCCACCTTGGGGGCTTTGGGGGCTGCAGGGTGTCCTCACCCAGGGCCCCTAGCACCCAACCTATCAGGCTGGGCCTTCCCCATGAGCTTGGCCTGACTCTCATCCCCACATGACCAGCAGGTGGAGTGGCCACCAGGTGGCACCAGCAGCCTGCCTTAGCGACAGCTGGAGCAGAACCACCCCCCACCCCCCACCCCCGCCACCACCACCCCCCCTCCGCATTCACCTTCCTGTCCCTCCTGGCTCTGAAGACCATCCCTTCCACCCTCCGCACCGTTTCCAGGCCCTCTGGGGCATCAGGAAAGGTGGAGATGGGAAAACCTCTGCTGGGGATGGAGGGGCTGTGGCAGGGGCCGGGTGGGATCCGATGGGGTGGAGGAGGCGGGGAGTTCGGAGGTCAGGAGCTGTGGGGCACTGTGGGGGGGAGGCTCTCACCCAGGTACTGGCCCTTGCCCTCGCGGAAGGGCGGCCCCACAGGTCCTTTCTGCATGGGCTGCATGTACTTCACCGGGGCGTAGCCCGCTGCCCCGCCGCCAGAGGACGCACGCGGCCCACACCCCAGCAGCAGCAGCAGCAGCAGCCAAGACAGGGGCGACAGAGCCCCCCGCATGGCGTCCGTGGGCGTGCTGCGGGGAGGAACAGAGAGGGGTCGTCAGCCAGCCCCTGTGTGGTTTGGCATCAGGCCCAGGGCTCACAGAAAGATCAGAATTTAGATATTGCATTTGATCTTGGCCAAAGGCTGAGAAGTGATTCACAATTTAGATATTATTCACAAGCAATTCCCAAAGCTACAGAGGTCTGCAGAAGCTACCTCCTGAACCTCTTCTGACCCTGCCTGTGGCTGTCCATCCCCTCCACCATCTCCCAGGACCCAGCCTCCCCCAAACCACCCACTCTCTGCAGCCAGACGTGCCTTCTAGAGCACAATCTGACCTTCCCCACTAAAAACCCGTTGGTGATAACATCCACTGCCATGTGCTGGGCCAGCTCTCTGCCAGGCACTGGGCTGAGCTTTTTAGAGAGAGGAACTAACTCAATCCTCACAACATTTTAACAAGGTATTGTTATTGTCACCCCCACCTTCCCGGTGATAAAACTAAAGCAAAGGTCTCTAGGAAGCAGAACTGGGACCTGACTTGGGTCTCTCTGACTCCACATTATGCTGATGCCCTTCTGGGCTCCCCACTGCCTTCAGGATCAAGTCCATGGTGCTTAACACAGCATTCGAGGCCTTTCTGATCTACTCTGTGCCTGTGTCTCCAACCCTGTTGCCTGCCCCTTTCTCTGGCCTCCTCTCCACTCCCCACACCTGCACCCAGTAAACCAGAACTTCTTTATAGCCCAGACCCCAGGCAGCCTCGCACTTCTGGGTGTTTGCACCTGCTGTTTCTCTGCCTGCAGTATGCTCCTCTTGCATGCATCCTTTAAGGCCCAGGGAAGCTGTCACTCTGTCCTCTATAAAGCCTCCCTCCTTTGTGCCCCGACCTGACCTATCCCTGTCCCAGCACTGAACTCAGCCGAGAGGACAGGGCCTGGGTGGGGAAGAAGTGCAGGCTCTGGGTCCAGGCAACCAGCCTGCGTCTCCCACTCAGCACCTGGGGGAGCTGGACGAGAGGCTTCTTCATCTGTAAAATGGGACAACACGTCCGCACAAAACTCGTACACGAATGCTTATAACAGCAAGATTCCTAAAAGCCAAAAAAAGCAGGGACAACCCAAATATCAATCAAGTGATGGGTGAATAAATAAAGTGTGGTATCTCCATACACTGGAATATTATTTGGCAATAAAAAGGAATGAAATACAAGCCTTCTAGTCCCAGCTACTTGGGAGGTTGAGGCAGGAGGATTGCTTGAGCCCAGAGTTTGAAAAGGCCAGCCTGGGCAACATAGATTCCATCTTTAATAAAAAATAATTTTTTTTAATTTAAGTTTTAAAAAGGAATTGAGTACTGATGATACATGCTACAGTACAGATTAATCTTGAAAACACTAAGCTCAGTGAAAGAAACCAGATGCGAAAGGCACATATTGTGTGGTTCCACATATAAGCACTGTCCAAGAGACAGGTGAAGGCCAGGGGCGGCCTAAGGCTGGGGGAGGAGGAATTAGGAGCCACTGCTAATGGGTACAGGGTTTCTCGTAAGGGTGATGAACTGTTCTAAAATTGATTGTGGTGATGGTTGCACAACTCTGAGAATAGTAAAAAACCATTGAATTGTACTTGTTTTTTTGAAACAGAGCCTTGCTCTGTCGCCCAGGCTAGAGTGCCATGGCATCAGCCTAGCTCACTGCAACCTCCAACTCATGGGCTCAAGCGATCCTCCTGCCTCAGCCTCCCAAAGTGCTCAGATTATAAGTGTGAGCCACTGCACCCAGCCGAATTATTATTATTTTGAGACAGAGTCTCACTTTGTTGCCCAGGCTAGAGTGAGTGCCATGGCATCAGCCTAGCTCACAGCAACCTCAAACTCCTGGGCTCAAGCAATCCTGCTGCCTCAGCTTCCCCGAGTAGCTGGGACTACAGGCATGCGCCACCATGCCCGGCTAATTTTTGTATATATATTTTTAGTTGGTCAATTAATTTCTTTCTATTTTTATAGTAGAGACGGGGTCTCGCTCTTGCTCAGGCTGGTTTCGAACGTCTGACCTCGAGCAATCCGCCCGCCTCGGCCTCCCAGGGTGCTAGGATTACAGGGGTGAGCCACCATGCCTGGCTTGAGTTATTTTTTAAAGGTGGCTAAAACCTGCTTCTCAGGGCTGCTGTGCTAAGTAGAGATGTCATGACTGGCTCAGAGTGGGCTCCCATTATTAGAATGAAGTTCTATTTGTCATTTTTCACACCCAAGGAAAGTCCCACTTCCCCTCACATCCCTGCTCTGGGCGCCCCTCACCTCTCCCAGAGACCTCCGGCACCGGTGCCTGGGAGCAGGGAGTGTGAGGGTTAGGGGTGTGAGCTGTGTTAGGGTTAGGGGGTGCGGGCTATGCACATCCAGGGATGCTGGCAGGGAGCCAAGAAGGCTTAGGACCACGTTCCTCCAAGCTCAGGATCCCGTGGAGCTTTGCAGGAATGAATTGCAGGGCCAAACCCGCTTTTGGGTTCGAATCCCAGCTCCACCACCAACCCATTCTGTAACGTCAGACGGTCATTTAGCCTCCCTGAGCGTCAGCGTAATAGTGACACCTGCCACTTACAGGCCCTCTGTGCGGGCAGTGATCCGGGCCTCAAAGGCCTCATCTCCCTTTAATCTTCTCAATGAACCCATGAAGCTCATGCGATTCTCATCCCCATTTTACAGGTGTGGAAGTGCCCAGCCTCCTTCCCACAGGTGGCTGGGGGGGATGGAGGGTCCAGCCTGGAGGGTGCTCCGGGCGAGGAGGCCCGCAGAGGCCACAGGCAAGCAGGACGCCGAAGGAAGGGCCCCAGGTCCAGCCAGGAGCCCGAGTGGGCCCAGCCAGCTGCCCGCCTTCCACTCCTCCTTGGCAATGGGGGCTCTGCGGGAAACAGCCCTGGCCCACCCTCTGTGGCTCCCTGACCTTGCCCCAGCCCAGCCCCTCCCACCCTGCACTGTGTCCCCGCGGCAGGTGTTTCCCATGACAGAGTCTGAAGGAGGCTCGGGGAGCAGGCGTCAGGCGCCGGCCACAGGCCTTACGCTCAGTATGTGACTTAATTCCCACAGCGTCCCGCGCCAGGAGGCTGGTCTGTGGACGAGGAGACTGAGGCTCAGGGAAGCAGAGTGCTGCACACCTGGGCTGGGCGGGCCAGGATGGCAGCAGGGGCCTGCACGGAGCCTGAGCTCTTAGCCACCAGCAGGGCGAGGAGAGGGGGCTGGAGAGCAAGAGCTAGACAGGAGAGACAAGCAACCTGAGAGACCCCTCCAGCTCCCAGCCCTGCGGGTTTGAGGGGAGGCTCAGCCTGGCTCTCAGAGCAGGAGGCGGGTTGCACCAGCCCAGTGGGGCTGAGAGGGCGTGCAGAGCCTGTCCTGGGGCCTGCAGAAAGAAACGAGGCCCTGGATGTGCACAACCTGGCGGGTGGGACAGGAGGCCCCTGGACATGCACAACCTGGTGGCCCGAGTGGGACAGTTCACCCCCAACCCAACCACCATCAGAGCCCCTGGGCATCTCTGAGCCCTGCGCTTTTCACTGTTACCCCTTCTTCCCCCCCATATGTGTGCACACACATACATGCACACACACGTACACACATGCACACACATGTACACATACATATACACACACACCCACACACCAGGCTCCCAGGGGCTCCCTGGCCTTTGCACATTCTGTTCCCAACATTTGGGACACCTACCGGATGCCCCCCTGAGCCCCGCTGATGCCTGTGGGTCCCGTCACAGCTCTCGCTCCCCTGCGACTCTCCCACTCTCTCTCACACGCCAGGAGCACAGGGCTTGGCTGGCACACGCTGAGGCTCCAAAATGTTTGCTGGAGTCAATTCACCATCAGATTTAAAGCACACACCAATAAGTCCCTGACTCCTTTCTCGCACTGTGAGCAGATACGTGCCACACCCGCCCAGGGAGCGCCCTCATCTGGGCCAGACTGGAAAGACGTGGGGACATTCACGTGGCCTCAATGAAAGGACTTCAGCTAAGAACAACCCGCTCCGGGAGCAGAGGTGCAAAGGGAAGGACAGTTCATTCGCTCCTTGTTCTCCCCGTGGGGCCGCCGGCCAAGCAGGGGGTCAGGGGTCGGAGGAGGACCCTGAGGCTCAAGCCAGGCTCTGCACATGACTGGCTGTGTGACCTTAGGCAGGCTGTCACCCTCTCTGGTGACTCTTGGGCAGTGAAAGCAGGAAGGGGGCAGGGCTGGCAGGGCCTCCAGCCGAGGTGGGACGCACACGGGAGATGCTGATTCAGAGGATTGAGCACGGCGGCGGCGGGGTGGACGCGCTGTTTGGACAGCTGCAAGTCCTTAACAGGGATTTCCCCCCTTTTCAACAAATCCCGGTAAAACAGCATTTCGTCCAAGTCAGCATTTTGTGGCAGCCTGGGCCTCCTCCCAGGGAGGCCGAGGAGCCGGGCTGGGAGTGGGGAGTGCTCCAGGGTCTTTTCAGACCCATGGGGGGCAGAGGGCCCGGCAGAAAGAATTGGCATAAAGCAGCCCCCTGTGCCCTGGAAGCGCCGAGAGGGCAGGCGGCATCCACTAACAGTGACACTTCGCACGGGCCCCTCTCTCAGAGGGTCCCGTCCCAGGGGTGACTAGCAGAGGGGTCCAGCCGCTCCCACGGAACGGAAAGGCCTGTCCCCAACCCCATTTCACAGATGTGCTCCAGGCCTCCAGATGAACGGGGGCCGGAGGGGGGGCACGCGTTCCCCCACCCTGGTCCCCCGTGGACCAGCCCCCCCCCCCGACCCAGGGGGCTGGGGAATGGAACAGGGCCCTGCGCACGGCTCCAGGCCCCCACCCACCCCCGATGGGCGGCTGCAGCTGAGGGAGCTGGGGAGCAGCCCCAGGGCCTGGCCAAACCACAGGTATGTTATGAGACGCTTCCTGTTGTGGAGACATTTCTGCGGATCAGATCGGCTGCCCTGTGCTCGCCCGCCCCGGGCCTCCATCTCCCCATTCACCCAGCCCTGCCCTCTGCTGCCTCTAGCCCGGCTCCTCTCCTCCCGCCCCCCTCTCTGGCCTGTCTCTGTCACCTCAGCAGGTGAGCAGCACTTCTTGCTCAGGTTCTCCCTATCAGGGGCCCAGCCCTGAGGCCCCTAAGGCTCTCCTAGGTCCAGGCAGCCCCTGAACGCCCATTCCAGCACGGCTACTTACAAGCTGTGTGTTCTTGGACAAGTGACTTAACCTCTCTGAACTTCAGTGTCCTCCTCTGTAAAAGGATTAACTGAGATCATCTGAACCACCAGCCCCTCCAGGTATACTTCTCTTTCCTGCTACCCCGATAGCCAGGAAATCCTCCCTTCAGTCTAACTTCAATTCATCCCGCTGCAAAACATCTTTCCAGCATCCCTTCAAAAAACTCAGGTCACTTGCTGCCGAAAGCCAAAGACCTTGTGAAATGAACTCCTAAAGTCAATTTCTGGCCTTCCAGGCATTTTCCCTGACCGCTCCTGACATGAAACTGACCAGCGGCCACAAAGCCCACTCAGGACGGGGACTGGGTTGTAGATCTGGGGGAGGAGCAGAGGCAACACCCTCCTCACCCCCTGGCAGGACACCCCCAAATGCCCAGCCAGGCAGCTCCAGACTTCTTCAGGGTTCCTGAGGCGCCTCCACCTCTCTCCTGGATTGTGGAAACCGGGGAGCCCTTTCCCATCCTCCTTTCCAGACTCTCAGAACAGGGGCCTGCCGCCCACTCAAGGCCCAGGCCCCACCGCACCTCCTCCTCCGGGTGGGGGTGGGGGCCTCCCGCTGTCTGTCGGTGCTGCCCCGCCCCCCATCCCCAGCCTCTCCATGCACGCAGGGGTCCACACAGGCCCGACCCGTCCCCAGCCACCCCTCCTCTCCAGCCCTCCTCAGCCAAGCTTCTGGAAAGAACTGTCTCCACCCGCACCCCCCGGCCCCAAACTCTGCCCTCTCACCCCATGAGCCCCGGCCCGTGGACCCCTCCCCACTCCCGGCTCTCCTTTCTTGACAGCCTCCTCCTCCTCCTCCTTGGAGTCCATTCTGCTCCCTTCCTTGCACGCTCTGCAGATCCGGGCTTGTCCCAGGCTGCTGGCTCGGGCCGCGTCTCTTCTCCCTGGCCGTCTCCCCTGCAGCTCCCAGCTCTGACCCACCAGCTCCCACGGCCACGGGCTCTGTCTCCCACCACGACGCCCCCCGCCAGCTGCAGACTTGTGTTCAGTCTCAGCCGAGCATTTGCACCTGGCTGTCCCTCGGATGTCCCACCCAAACTGCTGCCATTGCCTTCGCCCTCCTTGCCTGCTTCTCCCCAACCCCTCGGCTGCTCTGCTCCCCCCACCTGCCCCCCAGACCAAAAATCTGAACATCGCTTCTGACCCTTCCTTCCTCACAGGGACGTAAGGAATCGAACTGATACAATGCCTCGCACAATTAGAAGAGGCTGCCCTTCCTTCCAGCCAGCTCAGCCCCTGCTCACTGCCTTACTTGGGTGCCCTTGTGCAGTAACCAACCTGCACAACTACACATGGCATCCCTATTCCTTTCCCCTCAAACCCTCGATCCAATCCTGGGGAATCTGTCTCCTCTATTTCTCTCACTTCTGTTCTTTCCCCTCCTTCCCCACAGCCTCTGCCCTAATGCAGACCTTGGACTCTGCCAAACACAGCCCGGTGCCCACACATCCCGGCTCCTCAATAAGGGTTTGTTCAATTAAAGTGCGAAGCCCCCTCTCGGATGGCCAGGAGAGTCTCTCACCCAGCCCCCACCCCCAGCTTCTCTCTGTTCTCCTCAATGTAACCTATGCAGACTCCAGCGAAGCCTCTCGAACTTTCGAACTTTCGTCTGCATCAGAATCACTGGGACAGTTTGCTAAAACACAGGCTCCTGAGCACGTCCTGACTCAGCAGGTGTGGGGAAGGCCGGTGGCATCTGCGTCTCTAACAGGCTCCCAGGCCATGCTGAGGCAGCCGCCCGGTCCCCAGTCCCAACAGTCCCAACTCCACGTTACTTGCAATTCACGCGGCCTCCTGGAGGGGGAGGCATACTGTAGGCTCTGTAGGATGCGGACCGTGGGAAGGCGGGAGGAGGGAGCGTGGAGATGGACGGGGAGCCCTGCAGAGCCCTGAGCTCTTGACTGGAGGACACAGCTGGGTCTGGGAGCTGTGTGCGAGGTGAGGGCTGGGGACCAGCTCGATGCGGGAGCCACGTGAGCATGGGCCGTGCCCGCCTGTGTCCTTTCTTCCATGTCTCCGTGTCATTGATCCCAGATCCTCAGCTGCCTGTGTCTCTCTCCTCCCATCTCTGTGTTGCCATAGCATCCAACCACCCATCTCTGTGACTCTGTCCTTCTCTGTCCTCTCCCACATCCTTGTGCCTTGACTGCTGTCGGTCCCTGGGCTGGACCCTTTGGAAGGCCAGAGCCGACAGTCCACATCTGCTCACGCTAACGCCAGGTCTGGGTCTGACCAGCCTGGATGACACCTGAGCAGCCCCCAAGGTCTGGGCAGGGACATGGGGGGTCCAGTGCCCATGAGTGGGGCTGTCTGTGTGCTGGATCATTTTGAGACTTCTTAACCCCTCAAATTTAAATGCGTAGGTGAAGACTGCTCCAAAGCCACACAGCTGCCTGGAATCTGGGAGTTGAGGGGTAGAGGGAGGTGGCCAGGCAGGGCAGGGCTACCTGGGCCACCTTATCACCCACGTTGATAGCAGGACAGGAGTGCTTCCCCTGCCCACCTGTCTGCCTACCAGGCTGCAGTGCCACCTGAGTCCCAACATCTCTCACCCCTGCAAGTGAGGCTCTTGGACCACAGGGGACCTCAATTTCGGAGGCAGCATTGGAAGGAGGCTTGAAGGACAAGTCAGAGGTCAGCAGGCCCGTGGGGGTGGGAGATGGTGGAATAGTCCGAGCTGAAAGCAGAGCAAGTGTCTGGACAAGGACAACTGGAGGGCTTCCAGGATAGGGGGGCATCCAAGAGGCAGTGAACCTGTGAGTCTGGAACTCAGGAAAGAGACACGGGGTGGAGATAAAATATGGGCTCCTTGGCAGCGTTGCTGCAGCCTGGACCAGGGCCACAGACTCATTCTTCTGGAATACCCCCACGTTCCAGAGAGCAAGGGAAGCCCACCATAGCCCTGGGCTCCACCCCAAGCACCCTGGGATCCAGGCACCCCACACTTCTCACTGCTTCCCTGTCCCTGCCTTTACCTGAACGATTCTCTGCTTGGATCACCCTTTCCACCTTTCTCCTCCATGCAAACACATTATTCCTCATTTAAGACCCAGTTCAAATGTCTCCTCCTCCAGGTAGCCTTCCCTGCCTCCCTCAGGCAGAGCAGCTCCTCCTCCTGGACACCCACCTGCAGGACAGCACCTCTCCTCCCACCCCCACCTCAGCCCTGAGGCTTGGCACATCAGCCGGGAAGGGACTCCTGTCCGCCACCCACCTCCAGCCAAGCCCTCAGGGTGGCTTATCAAAGGGCCACCTTCTCTTTGTGGCTCTTCCTGAGTCCTCCTAGCTCTGGGATGCAGAGGGCTTGGCTGGCCCTCCCTCCCTGCAGGTGACTGTGTCCACTTTCCAGGTCCCCAGCCTGTGCCCATCTCTGAGTCCAGACGCCCCACTATTCCCCTGGCAAGGATCATCTTGGGGCAACAAAGCGTCCAGGACGGCGAGAACAGCCAGGCAGGGGCAGAGGACCCAGAAGAGGCCCAATGGTGGGCAGGACCCAGGGTGACAACGCATCCTCAGGCAGGTGGCCAGGGGAGCTGGCCCTTCCCCACCAAGGTGCTCAGGCCTCAGCTGGTGCCATCGCTTGCCTCCCAGCAGAGGCCCCGAGCTTCTGATGGGGACTGGACATCGGAGGGCCCCCAGACCCAGCCACCCCAGGCCTCAGGCCAGGGCAGGCGGGGCCTCCTCCGCCTCCGCCTCCAATCCCTCGCCTTCTGGTTCGCATTTGCAGCCTTTTCCGGAGCGCCACCCGCCACCCGCGCCCGCTGCCTCCCCACGCCTGCCAAGATTCCTGGGCCTCCGCGGCTACCCTGCGTGGTGGCGGCAGCGGCAGCGGCAGCAGGAGGGGCCGGGCTGGGCAGGGAGGGGGCCGGCGGGAGCGCAGCCAGGCCACTGCAGCCGGCCGGCCAAGCAAACACAGCCGCGCCAAGGAGCCGGGCGAAATAGTTCACAAATGAGAAAAAGCTGCTTCCGACTTGGGCCGGGGTTTTAAAGTCCAGGCCGTAGGGAGCTGAGGTCACCTGCAAGAGGGGCTGAGCGCAAGGACACCCTGGGCCTGGGAGGGGCCTCCGCTGCAGCAGGAGGAAGTAAGGCTAGACAGCAACAAGCACAGGCCTCGGCCCGGCTGGGATATCAGAAAGCCACAGCCCCAAGTCTAGCTTACCTGTCTGGTCGGAGGGGCCTGGGAGGGTCCCAGGAGAGGCAGGCCCTGAGGACCAACGAGAGAAACAGTGAGAAGACACAGGAGCCCCTGCCGGAGCCCGGCCCCAACCTCGGTCTACCTCGTCGTTCCCTCCTGCCCCCAGGAGCCACAGCGTGTGCCCACACTCGCCACCTGTCTTCCTTCAGTCCGTGCACAGGCAGCGATGCCCTCGGGGCCTGGCCTGGGCCGAGGAGCTCCTCCTGTCCTCGGGCCGGGCTGAGGAAGCCCCTTGTGCGTGCCAGGTCCACCCTGGAGAAGTCCCCACTATATGTCAGGCCCTGGTTTGGGGCGGCCCTACTGCGGGTCAGGACCCTGCTGGGGAGCTCCTACTGTGCGACAGACCCAAGGCAGGGCCCTGGGACGCAGAAACGGTTCAGCCCCGTCCCTGCCCTGCCCGTGCGGAAGGAGCTGGGGCCATCGGACCAGCGGCCCTCACGCAATACGCAGGGATCTCTTGGCTGTGGGAGCACAGGGCAGGGAGCACCGGCTCTCCCGTAGGCTTCCCCAGAAGGCTTCATGGAGGAAGAGACACTGGAGCTGGATCCTGAAGGCAGGCGAGGTAAGAAAGGGAATTTCAGGCAGTAGGAAGCTGCCTGGCAGATGTGGGGAAGGTCCAGAGTGGATGGGGAAGACAAGCAGGAACAGAGACGGCTGGGGCAACCTGGTGGGGAATGTTGACGCCGTACTTGCATTTCTCCCGAAAGCAGTGGGGAGCCATGGAAGGTTGTTGAGTGGGGAGGTGATATGGTCAGAGCCTTGGATGGCCAGGCCCCATTTCTGCCCCCACCAAGCATGATGCCAGGCTCTGCCTAAAGCCCTAGTCCAGGCCCCACAGCTATACCCAGAGGAGCTGGAGTCCGGACCCAGACGTGACTCCCGGGTGTTTGGGGAGGGGACGCCCAGCCAGCCCACCTGGCAGGGAGGCCTGCCAGCCGCGTCACTCTCTCCCCAGCTGCTCGCTAGCCTCTGCCTGCTCCCATGGAAACTCTGACACCCCGCCGTCTCCAGCCGCACAAGCAGCCAATGCCGGGGCCAGCGGCTCCTGGGCCTCCTCTCCAGCTCAGCGCGGCCCTGCCTCCGTCCGCACGCTGAGCACCATGACCCCAGAGGGGTCACGAGGGGTCACGAGGCCACGTTCTGACACCCCAGCCCAGGCGATGGGGCCTGGGGAGGAGGTCCTGCCCGCTCGGCTAACCCCGGCCTCTCTGGCCCCAGCCTCCACGAGGCTCTGGCTTTGAAGGATGAACACGGACTTAACTGGGGGCAGGGCGGTGGAGAGAGGTGATGGGTCCCAGGCCGAGGGGACAGCACGTGTGGGGTGTGGAGGTGCGGAAGCCCCGGACGTATTCAGGATGGAGAGAATTAAAACACACACAAGAACTAATCATAACTAGCATTCACTGTGCACCTACTGTGTGCCCGCACTGTTCTGGGTACTCTCATGGATTATCCCACTTAATCCTGACAACAAACTAGTGTACTTTTTTTTTTTTTACAATTTTTTTTTATAGAGACAGAGTCTCACTCTTGCTTAGGTTGGTCTTGAACTCCTGACCTCAAGTGATCCTCCCACATCAGCCTCCCAGAGTGCTAGGATTACAGGCATGAGCCACCATGCCTGGCAACATAGGTACTTCATTTTTCCTTTTTACAGATGGGGGCACTAAGGAACAGAGAGGTTAAGTAACTGGCCCAAGGTCACACAGCTCATGAGAAGTAGAGCCTGAATTTGAACCTTGGCTGTTAGTTCTATAGCCTGGGCTTGTCACCACTCCACAATACAGATAATGTGAGCTGAAAAGATCTGGCTGGGGTCAGACTGCGAAATGCCAGAATATCAGGATCAGAGACCCAGGCCCCACCTAAAGCTGGCTCCCTCTCCCCTCCACCCATGTAAGCCCTAACGACAGGTCTCTACAGCCAGAGTAAGCCGTGCGCCCCGGACACAGCACCGGCCACGGCCCAGGCACTATGTTATAAACCTTCCTGCAGCCCTGTAAGGCTAGGACTGCTGTCCTATTTTACTGAGGAGCAGCACTGGGGCGCAGAGAGGTCACATCCGTTCTCCAAGGTCACCAGGCTAGGAAGGGAAGGGGCAGGATCTGGACCTCGGTCTGCCCCGCCCTGAGGTGGCTAAAGCCCTGTCCACTTGGGCTTCCTGGAGGCCTCAGCCACGGGTCCTCCTGCCCACTCCAGACGGCACCAGGGACAGGCAAGGCTGGGAGCAGAGTGGACAGCTACCATCAAGGGCCTCAGGAGCGCCCTCCAGTGGACCAAAGCCCCTCAGTCCTACAGAATAGGAAGCCACAGTGGGTGAGTGTGCCAGGGTGGGGCCTGAGCCCACGTCAATGGGACTCTGTTCTTAACCTCCTCCGGGCTGCCTTCCTAATCCCTGGCTTGAGCCCTTCCCCTGGCGATGTCTCCCCTTTGCACAGAGCTGTCGGCTAAATCCCAGACCAGATGTGGGCGGGACAGTCTGCACCCCTGCCCCCTACCAGCTTCTGAGAGCTGCAGGACCCCCAGGGGGCTGGCCAGGGCCCAGGGCCCTTCCCTACTCCAGCTTTCCAAACTGAGGTGCTGAATGCTGGGGGGTGAATGGTTGGCTCCTCCCAGAGGTGGGGCTACTGGAGAAGTCCCCGTTTCTGAGCACCCACCACGGGCAGGCCCTTGCTTAAAAAATCATGTTGAGGCCAGGCGCGGTGGCTCACGCCTGTAATCCTAGCATTCTGGGAGGCCAAGGTGGGCGGATTGCTCGAGGTTGGGAGTTCGAAACCAGCCTGAGCAAGAGCGAGACCCCGTCTCTACTATAAATAAAAAGAAATTAATTGGCCAACTAATATATATAGAAAAAAATTAGCTGGGCATGGTGGCGCATGCCTGTAGTCCCAGCTACTTGGGCGGCTGAAAAGGGAGTATTGCTTGAGCCCAGGAGTTTGAGGTTGCTATGAGCTATGATGATACCACTGCATTCTAGCCTGGGTGACAGAGTGAGACTTTGTCCAAAAAAAAAAACCAAAAAGAAACCATGTCAGATTAAGAGAACCTCTGCGTGCACTCCTTAGTTGGTTCATTCATTCATTTGTATTTCAGCCCTGTGACTAGCCTGTGACCTCCCCAGTCTGTACCTCTTTGTCAATGAAATAGAACAGTTTCTACTTCATAGGGCATTTATCAGGATTAAACAAGTTAATTTTATGTAGTGGACCCAGAGCAGTACATGGCATACAGGAACAAGACCTCAATAAATGTGCAGTTTTTAAAAATATTTTTTTAGGCTGGGAGCGGTGGCTCACGCTTGTAATCCTAGCACTCTGGGAGGCCGAGGCAGGCGGATTGCTTGAGGTCAGGAGTTCGAAACCAGCCTGAGCAAGAGTGAGACCCCCAAAGAGTGAGACCCCCATCTCTACTATAAATAGAAAGAAATTAATTTGCCAACTAATATATATAGGAAAAATTAGCCGGGCATGGTGGCGCATGCCTGTAGTCACAGCTACTCGGGAGGCTGAGGCAGCAGGAAAGTTTGAGGTTTTTGTGAGCTAGGCTGACGCCATGGCACTCACTCTAGCTTGAGCAACAAAGTAAGACTGTCTCGAAAAAAAAAAAAGAAAGAAATTTTTTTTTTAGAGTTGGGATCTCGCTGTGTCAGAGTGTACTGGTGTCACCAGAGCTCACGGCAGTCCCCAACTCCTGGCTCAAGTGCTCCTCCGGCTTCAGCCTCCTGAGTAGCTGGGACCAAAAAGGTGTGCGCCACCACGCCCAGCTAATTTTTAAATTTTTTGTAGAGATGAGGTCTCGCCATATTGCCCAGGTTGGTCTCGAACTCCTGGCCTCAATTAACCCTCCCGCCTGGGGAGGATTAATTAATCCTGGGATTATAAGCGTGAGCCACTGCACCTGGCACTCACTATTATTATTATTGTTATTATTATAAATATCATCACCACGACACCTGCCAACAGCCCTGTGAGATTAGTTCTATAAACCCCATTTTACAGATCAGAAACCGAGGCTCAGAGAGAAGTCCTTTGCTCAAGTTCACCCCACTAGCCAGAGGAGGACAGTCCCAGAGCCTGGACCCTAGCTGAGTGAGTCCCACGATGATGAGGACAGGCTCCCAGCTCCCAAGCTGAAGCAGTGTGCATGGGGGGGTCCTCCACACCCCCCAGCCCCACCTGCCTGGCCCCAGGGGCTCTGCCCCCACCCCAGCCAGGCTGCGTTGCAGGAGGGGGCACCGCATTCCTGGCTAAGCAGCTGGATTTGCTGTGATCGGGGAACTATGAAAAGAATGTTTGCCACGAGCAGAGCGTGGTCGCCTGTCAGGGAGCGTGGCCCAGAGGGCCCACGCAGAGCCTCGTGGCAGCCAGGAATGGAGACCAGAGTCGGCCTCCTGGGCTCTTTCGGGGAGACGTGGCCCCTCCGCCCCAGTCTCGGTTTCTCATCCCCACAGGCTGCAAGGACAGCCCGGCCAGCAGTACTGCCCGTCCCAGGGACAGCAGCAGAGAGACTCAGGGGAAAACTCTGCACGTGAGGTCACACACAGCCAGGGGCAGGATCGAGACCAGAGGCCAGGACCCCAGGCACAGGTCCCTTCCCCACAGAGGCTGTCCTTCCTCCTTGGACCCCCCAGGGACCGCTGACAGTTCTCAGACTCAAGTACCGCCCCAGCCCTCACTGCTCTGGGCTGTCTCTGGGCCTGCTCTTCCCCATGCTCCCTTCCCGTAAAACACCACCTCCTGCTAGGAACATGCCCAGCACGCCTGGGAGCTCAACAACTCAGATTCCACTCCTTTCCCCACCAAGCCAAGCCCTGGTGGGGGAAGCGGCCCAGGAGGCCGGTGGGAAGAACAGGAGCTGTGTGTCCTCACAGACCTGGGGGTGAATCCCAGCCCAGCACTCAGCAAATGGGCAGGTTAATGACCTCTCTGAGCCTCCACTTACCCCTCTGTTAAGTGGGCGACCAATCCCTGCCTTGCAGCATTGTTACAGGATTAAATGAGATATGTGAA